GGTTATAACGGCTTGGAGGACAAGATATTTACGACGGTTAAAGGAAAAATGACAAACTTGGACATAAGAAACTTGTCACATACGTCGATGAAACCTGGATTCATAGCCATTAAACCATTGCCAAATGCTGGCATTATTTTCTAGACGCTAGTGTAAAAAAAAATTTAATAAAAATTTTGGTGCTGGAGAGCCATTCTGATCTTGCTCATACTGAAGTACGGAATATAACCGGAATAATGTCGGATAAGACTTGCTCTTAGCTCGTTACTCACACTTGCGTGTCGCTCCAATGATGATGTGTACATTAGCCCATAGAACTTCTCAACCTAACTCAATATCTCAGGTGTCGCGGAAACGACGCTGCCACAACGCTTGTCACACTCGGTCTTCAGCATCGACAGTTGGCTCTTTCTGGCGGGCAGTTATCTAGGAAAGACTTTAGAGCCCTAATTCCACTCAATCACTTCTTCTATACGAGCTGTGTAACTGTAGTCGCATAAGTCCTACCGCATGCGTTTGGAGATCTGTCTGTTCAGTTGCCTGTACGCTGTCATATCTGCTGAAAACTGCAGCTTAATTTTCCGTCTCTGCGGCGGGTCTTGCCGAAATTAGCTTCGACCGTATAGACGGGTTCCACGAGCTTGTCATTCATATCGTCCACTGCATTGCAATCTACTAGACACTGAAAATGGTTTTGTAGCTCGAGCTGAAAGATTTCGGGACTATGAATTAGAGCACGAGGGGTATGTAGCGTTGACTTCATTAGACGATATCTCTCCAACTTAACGTTTAGGTTCAGTATGGCTTTAACTTTTCGGTGATCGCTACCAATTTTCAACCTCAGCATTACTGAGACATCACTAAACAGTTGTCGTCTGGTCTCTGTCGAATCTCAATTTTTGTCAAACCGTCAGGTTTTGACCTGGTCCAATTACTGTGGAGCCGTTTCTGGAAGAAAGAGTTCATCACAAAGATTCCCTCTTTCTTCATGAAGTCGGCCAGCTACTGGCCCCTTGAGTTCCGTTGCCCTATTTCAAATATCCCTACCTTCAGCTCACCGTTCTCTCCCGTGCCTAGTTTTGCATTAAAGTCTCCAACTTACACCGTATAGTGGGTTTTTCGAGAAAAGCATGGCTCTAGATATATCCTCATACATTTCCTACACCTCCTCATCGGGATGCGCCGAGTTGCCGAGGAGGATGGGTATCCGTAGTTTTTTTATTGTTATTTTGCTGATATCAGAAAGATGCTGCTGTCCATCTTTTGTCTCAGTTTCCTTCAGTCGCCTCTTACGACACCCACAGGAAGATAAGGGGTAGTGGGTGTTCTTAGCCGCCACGCCAATTGTCTATAGGTGAATACAGCGATAGCGACTCCACTGGGCTAGAAACGAATACTGAAAGTGATACATCTATGTCTGATTATAATTCAACGGACTATGATGATTAAACTACTACATATTATTTTATTGCCTAATTTTCCTAATAGTATTAATATTTTATATTGTTATTTTATCATATTATACATTTATTATTAATTACACTTAACTTACAATAAATATTTTGAATTTGAAGTTTTCCTTTTGTTAACCGTACTAACAATCGACAGCGCGCGGTTAATAAAGACCTAATGTCTTCTACGCAGTTGATAACTTGGTATCGGTCAGAAGAAAACCTTTATCAGATTATATAGTACGAATATATAAGATATTATTCTTAATAAAAAATAAATTATCAAATATAAATAAAAATATAATTTTCTTATGTTGAATTGGTTTTCATAAATAACAAAACATTAAAATTAAAATTTTAACAGAAAGTAAAAACCAACTTAAAAAACTACAATAATAAAATAGTTTCTACATAGTAACTTCAGAAGTCGATTTAACCTATTTAATAAAAAGGAATAATATAAATCGGTACCAAACGTTTCTTAGTAATCGTCAAACACACATTAAAAAAAAACAAGCCCCAAATGTTAACTCTCCTCCTTTTTTATTAAGAATGTTCAAAACAATTCTAAAGTAATTAAAATATATTTCTGGGTTTCTAAAATATATGTGACAATAATTTATTTTAAATTTGTCATTCCAAGGAATGTTAATGTGCAGGCTGCGAAATAGAAGTGATGCAAATTAGGTATAGCGCAGAAGATAAATGGCTTTAACTGTTAATTACCTTAGTTATACAGTTCATTAATTACTTTGAAACTTTTGGTCCAAGAATATCCTCATCTGTGACTATTTTTTGTGTCACTCATACGTTTATATATTTAACAATTCATGTACACACAAATTATTGTTTCGAAAAAAAAAGAGATGATTACACATGGCACTGCCTATTTCATATTGAAATTCCTTCCAGTAGGCTTGATAATGAGTAGTTGAAAGAGAATAGGATTTATTTTGTTTCATCCTTCATTTTAAACAACTATAATAGTTATTACTATTTTTACCGCTTATCCAATATGATTTTCAGACTTTATACTTAATATATCTTGGAAAATACAAAAAACGTTTTTTCAAATAATTTATAATTTTTATTTGATGATGACAACTAGTGATCATCCAGTGACTGTAATATACGATATCTATATATAGATATATATATATATATATATTTCTTCAAACTATATGGCCGTCTATTACCTAAGTCTATGTTGTAAGGAGTGGTTCACGACAGTAGTATATATACGAATATATATATATATATATATATATATATATATATATATAAGAAGGGAGAAAAAAATTCCTTATTGCAATATACCACCATAGAAAATGATAGCAAATCTCATGACTCTCTAACCGATTTTGAATGGCAGGTAGGCACAAGTCGGCACACAAGAAATATGCTCCTAAATATTTTATAATTTTTAAGAGTTTAATAGTAGTTATTTTAGTTGTTATGTGAGTGACTATGGTGTCCATAATAGAAATAATCCTGATCATTGTACATTTGTTTACTTATTTATTTACTTTATGGAAGACAACACTCAAACAAAAGATATAAAAAATCATAAAAAGTAAAACAAACAAAGTTAATTACAATTGTTCCCTACAAACCGTCTCACTGAGAACATTTTTTATAGGATAGGTTGACAAACGAGCACACAGTCCACCTGATGGTAAGTAGTTGCTGTGGCCCATAGACATCTACATTTATCCTCGTTTGCGAATCAAAATGCAGATGTGTTGTCACCCGTGAGGACTAAGATGGAATGCTTCTTTTCCAGTAAAAAGGGTCTCCGGTTCTCTACATTGACCATACGAAACACAGCAGTGTTAAGCTGATATTTTACGCTGGTATTCTGTGAGAGGGTGGTCCGTTCCCGGTCGAGCCGACCCATTCGTGCTACAACTATACTACTAATATAGCTGCAGTATGGCTCTACCACGTACATATATATTGTTACGAGCTTCGGGTTCGAGACAATTAAAAACTGCCGATAGAATTACCGATATCGACACTTTAATTACAGAATACTAATTACAACTTAAAACCACGCTAATAATAAAACACAATTGTACTACTGACTAGTTCGCAGTTGTATCGCTTCGAAATATTCGCTTATATCGCCAATTCAATACTGAGTCGGTTGCGGTCTACACCGGTCTTATATAGGGCCTCAGGTAGTTTCCAGAACCTTCTACTATAGAAACATCTAGAATGTTCGAGTACATATCGGTCCCGATATTTCTAGAAGGATCTTGACTCTCCTAGTTCTGCTACTCGATACTAGAGGGCGCTAGTGGTAACTAGTGTTGCCATGTACAATACATTAATAGTGGCGCGCAACAATATGTATATTATGAAGCAGATCGTAAATCGTATCGTCTGCTCAGCAAACAGCGTAACAAGTCTGTACTTAAATATAAAGATAACAGTCATCTAAAAACTAAAATGTACCAGACAAAATGACCCTATTTATCTAATTCATAATTGTTACTAAAATATTTTTAATTGACTTTTGAAGGCCGAGTTCATTATAAAGAGTCCCTCTTTCTCCACAAATTCGGGCAGATGCTGGCCCCTTGGGTTCCTATTGTCCTTTCCTAAATTTAGCTACCTCCAGCTCACCGTTCTCTCTTGTGCCTGGTTTTGCGTTAAAGTCTCCCATTAATATCGTATAGTGTTAATTATATGGCTTTTGGAGGAATGCTTGGCTTTAGAGATATCCTTATACATTTCCACCTTATCATAGGGATAATGTGTAAGCCTGTGTGACTTTCAGCGAATACCGTTTCGTGATTCTGAGTATACGGTACACAACCCTCGTAGATTAGGAGTATGTCACTTAATCTTTACTACCTTAGATTATATAAAATGTCCAGATTCCTAGTAGGCCACCGTAAATTGAAGCCAAATACAAGTAGTCAATATTGACTACTTCGTTCGATCCCCCCGTCACACGCCAAGGAACGTTCCCCGCTTAAACACGCTACGAGTCGGTGGTTTGATTTGGAAAAAATTACAGTTTGTGCTGTGAAATCGTGTAAAAATTACACATCAAAAAAGGAAAAGTACCTTAACATGTTACTTATTATGTAATTTCATTCATATCATTTAGTTAAAAATTAGCAACAGTAATGATGAAAATTATCCTTTACACTAAACTTAAAATATATAAAAATTTAAAAACTCCCATAATTTTGGGGTAATTCTGTGTCGCTGGTATTACACGCATATTGCACACTGTTAAATTTAGAAAAAGAAAATTTAAATCTGAACGCATTCATTTATATTTTTTTATTGGCAGCCAGATGGCGTTGTTGCTTCGTAGAACTGTAGAACTTCTTACCGTGAATGTGCATAGATACTAAATAAAAGATTTATTATCAAGAAAACATTTTATTGAGAATCCGAACCCATAATCCTAATAGGTTATGGGCCCAGGACACTGTTAATAGAAAGGAAAGGTAAAGAAACATATTACAACAGCTACGGAATAGTACGGAATATTCATTAACAAATAACCTAAAAATAGATACCACGCGGTCAATGAATCTCGAGAAATTTGATGGAAATAATTTTCGCCAGTGGAAATTCCAGATAAAATGCGCTTTAAAGGCAAAAGGAATTGATATCAGAGTGCCAAGAACGGAACAAAACAGTGCTGAATGGTCGAAAAATGATGGTATGGCAATGTTCATCATGACTTCGTCAATGGATTTCAAACAAATAACATTAATAGAGAATTGTGAGACTGCCAAGGAAATAATGACAAAACTTGAATCGGTATACGAACAAAAGAGTGAGTTGCGTAAAATGCTAGTCCATGAAAAGTTTTATCAGTATAAAATGTTGCCGGGTGACAGTGTAGCTCAACATATCTCAAAGGTGGAATCCCTGGCTAAACAACTAAAAGAGAGTGGTGAGACTGTCAGTGACATGGCCATCATAACAAAAATTTTAGGAACATTGCCACCTAAGTACAGATCACTGCGCCAAGCGTGGATGTCATTGGATTCAAAACAACAGACTATTGTGAATTTAACTGCTCGCCTCTTAGATGAAGAAGCAAGTTTAGTAGGCGAAGAAGAACAAGAAACAGCTCTCCTTGTTGCTAATAAAGGATGGAAGTTGAAATCAAAACAAAGTGAGCCGATGCAGAGTGGAGTAAATCAAAATAAAAATACCAAACACAGGTTTGAATGTTATAACTGTGGAAAGCGAGGACACTTTGCTAGAGAATATCGTGCTCCAAGAAAATTTAAGTCAAGAAAACCTCAACAATAAGGTGCAGATATGTTAGCGTTTTATGTAGAGAATAACGCGTCTAGCACAGAAGAGAATACTTGGATTCTAGACAGTGGAGCCTCTGCACATATGACTTATAGAAAGGAATTCTTTATGGAACTGGTTGAATGCAGTCAGAAGATATTAACTTTAGGAAACAAACAGTCTGTAGAAGTGTGTGGCATTGGTAAAGTGTTGATAAAAAGATATATAAATGGACAGTGGGAATCCAGTGAACTACTTGATGTGTTGTATGTCCCAAGTCTGCGAAGAAACTTATTCTCAGAAGGTGCCATAATAAGAAGAGATTACACTATTATAAAGAAAGATTCAAATGCATTGATCTATAAAGATAATCAAGTGGTTCTGAGTGCCAGGATCAGAGAAAATAATTTATATGAGCTGAATATAAAAGCAATCACCCCAGATACTTGCAACTTGGTCCAGAATAATCAAAGTGATATCAAAATGTGGCATGAGCGACTGGGACATCTAAACCTAAAAGAAATTAAGAGTATGTGTGCAAATAATGGTGTTATAGGTTTGGAAATTAATGACAATGATAAAAACAATTTTGTATGTGAGGCATGTGCATACGGAAAGCAGTGCAGGTTTCCATTTCACAAATCTGTACGAGGAGAACTACAACCTGGAGACTTAGTGTACAGTGATGTCTGTGGACCAATGTCTTGCACATCAGTTCAAGGAATGAGATATTTTGTCTTGTTCAAATATACAGTAACTAGTTACAGGCATGTATATTTCATAAAAAACAAAAGTGATGTTATGGAAATGTTTAAGAAATATAATAGTATTGTGAAGAATAAATACATGCACAGTGTAAGAATATTACATACTGATAATGGTAGAGAGTATGTAAACAAAGTTTTCAAGGAATATTTGGACAAAGAGGGGATAGTACATGAGCTAACTGCTCCTTATTCACCAGAACAAAATGGACGAGCAGAAAGAGAAAATAGAACCATAGTAGAAAGTGCTTGCTCCATGTTGTATGCAAGAGATGTTCCACTGGAGCTGTGGGCTGAAGCGGTGAGCTGTGCAGTTTACATATTGAACAGAACTTCTTCAAGCCAGACTCCGGGTAAAACACCATATGAATTATGGAATGGTATCAAACCACAATTAGGTAATTTGAAGGTGTTCGGCAGCGTTGGATATGTACATGTTCCAGATCAATTGAGAACTAAATTAGAAAAGAAGAGTAAAAAAATGATGCTTGTTGGCTATGATAATACCAATTACAGAATGTATGATGTAAATAATAAGTCAATCAAAATTTCAAGAAATGTTATTTTTGATGAACATCAAACTCCAGCAATAAGAAAGAATATTAATCAGATATGTATAACTGATTAAAATGAAGATAAGATACAAAATGATGAAACTGAAGCAAGAAATGTGGATGAAACACTAATGGAAACTGTAGCATTACAATCTAATGACAGCTTATTGAGTTGCAACAGTGATGATCCTACATATGAGCCGTCTCAAGAAATAGAAGATGTGCCACAGTGTAACATAAATTTGAGGCCAAGAAATAATAGACGTTTTGAAGCTAACCTTGTTGAATTGTCATTACCTCAGACATATGATGAAGCCATACAAAGTCCACAGAAAAATGAATGGTCTCAAGCCATTAGGGAAGAATTATCTGCACATGAAGAGAACTACACATGGAGTGCGGTAACAAGAGCTGGTCAGCGGACCCTTACTACCAAGTGGGTCTTCGCAATCAAGAAGAATGAAGATAATCAGACACGGTACAAGGCTCGTCTGTGTGCACGAGGGTTTACTCAGATTAAAGATGTGGACTACCAAGAAATATTTTCTCCAACTACTAGGTATGACTCTATAAGAATTATTCTTTCTATTGCAGCAAAGTATAAGTTAGAAATTCAACAGTTTCATGTAAAGACTGCTTTTCTTAATGGGTATCTTGAGGAAAATATTTTTATAGAAGTGCCTGAGGGTGTAATTTTAGATAAAAGTTATGTGTTAAAATTAAATAAATCTTTGTATGGGTTGAAACAGGCCTCTCGTTGTTGGAACAAAAGGTTCACTGAGTTTTTAATGAAATATGGTTTTGTACAATCTCAGGCTGGTAATTGTATTTTTATAGGGGTTTTCAATAAGATTAAAGTAATTTTAATTATTTATGTTGATGATGCCCTTATAATATCTTCTAGTAAACAACTGATCCACGAAATTATAGAATATTTGAAACAAGCTTTTAAAATAAAAGTGATGCCATTGAGATATTTTGTTGGTATGGAAATTGAGAGAATAAATAATTGTATCCATATTCACCAAAGAGATTATATAGAACAAATTATTGAGAGATTTTGTATGACAAATGCAACTCCAACTAGTACTCCAGCAGATGTCAATGTAATTATGACAAAGAATGAGGATGAAAACATTATTAATTTTCCATATAGGGAACTTATTGGTTCTTTATTATTTTTGTGTTCTGTTTCTAGACCTGACATATCATTTGCTGTGAATGTATTAAGCAGATATGTAAACAATCCTAGTCAGCAACATGTAAATGCTGTCAAACGTATAGTTAGATACTTAATTAATACTAAAGATTTGTGTATAAAGTATGGAGAAAGTGATGGCTTAATAGGTTACTCTGATTCTGATTATGCAAGTGATGTCGATACACGTAAGTCAACAACAGGCTATATTTTTATGATGAACGGTGGACCAATTACTTGGTCCAGCCAAAAACAAAAGACCATTGCTCTCTCCACTACTGAGGCAGAATTTGTAGCTGCATGTGAAGCAGCAAAAGAAATCATATGGCTGCTGCAATTAATGTTAGATTTAGGTGAAAATTGTAAATGTGTAACTATGTTTATTGATAATCAAAGTGCGATAAAACTAATAAATAATCCTGTTTATCATAAAAGAACGAAGCACATAGAAAGTTAAATACTATTTTATTAGAGAAAAAGTTGAGTTGGGCATGATTAAAATTAATTATGTTCCTAGTAAAGATCAATTAGCAGATTTATTGACTAAGGCATTGCCCACTCAAACTTTTACTTATATAAGGGATCAGATAATTAGTTAAGAGATTTAAATTTTAGTGGGAGTGTTAAATTTAGAAAAAGAAAATTTAAATCTGAACGCATTCATTTATATTTTTTTATTGGCAGCCATATGACGTTGTTGCTTCGTAGAACTGTAGAACTTCTTACCGTGAATGTGCATAGATACTAAATAAAAGATTTATTATCAAGACAACATTTTATTGAGAATCCGAACCCATAATCCTAATACACACAAAAGCAAATGCGATACGTAATATACTCGAGGGCGAGGCGTTCACTCACACGCGTATAAAAATTGGCTTCACGATAAATGTTGCATTTTGTATTGAACACGGAATCTGGACATTTTATATAATCTAAGTTTACAACGTTGTTAACGAGAGACTTGTGGACGATAAATCCGACACCTCCTTTGGACAGATGGTCACCCTTCCGGTGATAGAACAAGTTGCTGGTTTCGAGGATTACCGTGTCTTGCTACTCTCTTCGGACCTCAGACAATCCTATAACATCCCAGCGATCTCCTGAACGTGTTTTTTAATGTCTTAATGTCTACATATTCATTAATTTTAGGCGGTTGCATAACAGGGTCTATGAATAAAATGGTTGGATTAGTTGCGATTTTGTTTCATCCCTCAGGTACACGTGCGTAGACGTTAGTAAATCTTTAACTAAAAATCTTGTATTTACTGTTTCGTGACAATAGGCGTGCATATATCCTGAGGCACATTATAATATCCTCCACAGGCGTATAACGAAATCTGTGATATCGGTGATTGTTGTCAAGGAAGAATTTAAGAGGATGATATAGTGTGTTACAGTTTGTATGCAACATTCCATTTTACTCGGCGGTTGACTTAAAATAAACACATTTGTTTTTTCAAAACCACCCTTTTCCGAGGAGGCCAGAGGGTGTTCAAATTTGTATGAGGAAAAATAATTTAAGGCTTTGAAATGAGGGTGCGAAGTTTGTATAAAAATATTGTATTGAGTACAAACTGCTAAAATTAGAACAAAATGCTGCTTTTATTAAGTAAGCATCCAATAACAAAGAAAGCGAAAGAATTTTGAAGGATTCAAACCCTAAGGGGATGATTTGTATGAAACATTTTATTTTACGGGGCAATTGACTCAAAACTTGCTCAAAGTACTCCGTTAATAATGTAAAGAAAGATATTTGGGGATTTCATAAAACAACTCCGTAGGGGGTGAAGAAAGTGTTCTAATTAGTATGGAGATTTTTTTTTTAATTTTTCCAGTGGCAAAGTTTTGAAGTAGGCAAGGTAATTTTATTTTATAGAATAAGGGTGACAAACGAGCATACAGTCCACCTGATGGTAAAGGGTTGCTGTGGCCCATAAACATCTACATCTATCTTCGTTTGCGAATTAAAATGCAGATGCGTTGACAGCCGTGAGGACTAAGATATAATTCCTCTTTTCCAGTAAAATGGGTTTCCGGTTCTCTACACTCACCATATGAAACACAGCAGCATTAAGCTGCTATTTTACGCTGGTATTACTTAATTCTCTCGAAGATCAAGGCACCGACAAATGTACTACTCTGTAGACACTGTGCTCAATTTGGGAGATGCACTTCGTTTCCCAACATAATTACTCAATTTCTTACAGCCCTCCGGACTGCCACCACATAAATTGGTGTTAAAAGTAAGGTGTCCGTTTGTTTTATTACGGGACCTTATGCACCGAAATTGTGCAATTTTACCACAATTGCAGTTATAATCTTTAAAAATATTCATAATAGAGTGCACAATACTGAAAAGATGTGGAATTGGAGAAGTTATATTACTAACGGATATATCGTTCTTTTATTAAAACTACTATAATTTCCCATAAAACAGCATCATAAAAATAAAAATTTAACGTTGCGGGCTTAGACCTGAGCGTTGAGTGTTTTTCTCATGGAGACCTCTTTGTAGCCCTTTTGCGCGTCACTTTCCGACAAAATATATTCGTATAGTGTAGTGAAAAGTCAGCTGTATAAATTGTATATAAAGACATACTATAATAACTGGCAGTAATTATAAAACTTTGACATTAACAGTTAAAATTACCCAATTGTGTTAAATCTGTAAGCCGTGGAGGTATTTCTCAATTAAGCCATGCGATTAAATATATCTACATAATCATTATAAAATAAATATACTATGAATACCAAAGCGACGAACTCTAAATCGATCAAACAGTACCACATCATTGCTGACGTAGGAAGCCAGGGGGGGGGGGGTTGCTAATTTTAGTATAACGTACATTATCTACTAAATACTTCACTAATCTTAAGTAATATAGCAAAATCGGTCAGATAGACACATTTTTGTGAAGCTAATTTTTTTTATCACAGACTGAATTTATTCTCTATAGAAGTTTAATTTTAAATTAAATCCATAGCAAACTGCAAAATCCTGCTAGTTACTTTAATTCTCTTTGAAATAAAAGAATCTTTCCGCTCTGTTTGAAAGAATAGAGCTTAAAAACTTTTTCACTTCTACTTAATATCCCCAAAGAATATAAAATAAATAGTTAGTTCGGCGTGAGCAAAATGAACGAGAGAAATTGAGTTTTGTACTTTCTTAGCTATAAATATTATTATTAGTATTTAAGATTTAAAGAGGTTACCATTATATTATGCTTGTTGAATTTTAGTATCAGCTAGTTTCCTTAACGCTGTTTTCTGTCGTCATTCTTGACAATTTACATCTGGCATACACAAGATGGTAATACCACATCAATCCATCCATCCACCCATCTATGGGAAGACGTTTTATTGCGATAACGTTCCTCATAGCCACCGCTAGAGAAACGCACAGGATAAAATTTGGTGATGGCTTTTCTAATGTCGCCACCACACATCGCATCGTATGAGAAACTTAACTTCTACCTTGTTACATGGCTATTCTTGATAAGTCACACGTCTACTTGTATGGAGAATTAATGTAAAGTCAATAGCTTACATAGTTGAAGCACCAGTAGTAATGAAAATCTCAAAAAAATATTACTACGCTACCTTTCAGTCGTGTCGTAATGAACACGACTGAAAGGTAGCGTAGTAATTTTTTTTAGTAAACGTTGATATTAGTCTAGCTTTCATGGTAAATAATTTAAACTGTGTTGTTAATATTAAATCATTAGTAAACATGGTAAAAATAAAAAGTATAAACTATACCTTCAGATTCAAAGTGTTTCAGTTTTTTGAAATACAACAGAAAGTGATCTAGCAAAAAAAGAAAAGTTTTTACATAACCCGCTTGTGTAAAAAATTAGAAATCTCTACCCAAAGACTGCAACGTAAGTTTCTCATTTGGTAATTAAAGATTTTTTGATTTGATTTGAAACACAGAAGCACTCATTCCGTCTAAGCTACCTATTATTAAATCAAACTAATCTATTTATAAATCTTTATTCTAAGATTTCTTTCACTTTATGCTTGGGAGTTGGAGATGGAAAAGTGTTTATACAAATTTAGTAACTACTGCGCAGCAATAAAAATAATGATCTCCAATAATAACTGTTAATAGATGTTTATACCTTTTTTCAATATATACGTAATTTGGGATTGCAGCTCTTTTATCCCACCTTAAAACTATATAATTAAAAAATTTTAAGGCTTCTCTTCTTCGAATTATTTACAAATTGGTCCATCCCTTACAGGTTAGATCATAGACCTCCCCCATAGAACACCGCTTACGGGGATATGTGTATAGTTGCCGTGCTCGGCAGGCGGGTTATTTGCCATTGTTGCCATGCTTAGTAGGCGGACATACACCTAGGGCGCTGTTCGTTGAAATTCGTGTAGTCTATGCTCTACTCGATGGAGGATTTTATAATATCGCGGGGATTTGTGGTGGCTAACGTGGAAGGCCAACCGAGCACCTTTTCGGGGGCAGTGGGGAGTCAGATATAGACCTCATTCTTTCAACCAGAGGAGTCATGATTAAAGAGTGGCGAGTCCTGGGTTGCATCAGCTCGAATGAACATCGACTCATAGTTTATAAAGTTGGAAGAGTACCCGAACCAACGTAAGTACCCGAGGTAACGTTCTTGATTGAGGCGAACTCTGACATAGAGGGAACGGCCAAGTCTGCACTGGAGCTGGTTGTGTCTCGGGGGGAAAGGAATTGTCTATCCAATTCTTTAGCAAAGTCTTGCAAAATGACCCTGAAGGACAGGTTCTTACGACCACCTGTAATAAGTATGGGAAACAACTCAATAAAAAGCGTAGAGTCGACTAAAGTATTGAGCGTTACGCTAGACAATAGTCAGTCTTTTATTAAGAATGCGAAGGACATGGGAGAAAGGGCCGAGAGATGCTTCGGTAAGATATCGCGATGTTCTGGGGCATTCGTTACCCGGCTCGTCGCGTTCTGTATAAGGGAACATATGTTACTATAGTAACCTATGCAGCGGCTTTCTTGGTTAATCAGGTAGGGAATTATACGGTGCGTACGTCACTGCTCAGAATACAGAGGTCCTCAATCGTTTTGTTGACTAAGAGTTACAGGATGATAAGCACTGCATAGTGCTTATCATCCTTATGCTCAATGACCTCAATAGTGTTTCCCAACGGATAGGTCTTAAGATGAACATGGAAAAAACAAAGATCATGTTTAATGTCCATGTCACACCTATGCCGGTAGTTGTTGGGAACACTAAGCTCGAAGTTGTTGACGAGTATGTTTACCTGGGACAAATAGTCCGACTAGGTAAGTCCAACTTCGACCGAGAGGTCAATCGACGGATTCAACTCGGTTGGGCAGCGTTCGGGAAATTACGGCACATCTTCTCGTCAGGTATACCTCAAAACTTGAAAACGAGACTGTACACCCAGTGCGTGTTGCCAGTGATGACATACGGAACTGAG